CTGGGAAACCAAAAAGTTCATGGGATTCCCTTTATTACAATATTTGCTTTATTGAGGTGGTGTGGAACCAAATACACAATACCTCCCAGGTATCCTGTACTCAGCAATGGGCTAGCCCTGGGGACATAGCAGTAAACAAAACACAGTCCATGATTGTTTTGTTTTGAGACGGAGTCTTACTCGGCTATTTGGGTAGAGTGCTGTGGCATCATAGCTCACAGCAACGTCAAATTTTGGGGCTCAAGCAATCCTCTTGACTCAGCCTCCTGAGTAACTGGGACTGCAGGGGCCTGCCACAACCCCCAACTAGGTTTTTCTAGTTTTAGTAAACATAGGCTCTCATCCTTGCTTAGGCTGGTCTTGAACTCCTGAGTTCAAGCAATCTACCCGTTGTAGCCTCCCTGACTTCTAGGATTACAGGGGTGAGCCACTGTGCCCAGCCATCTCTGATCTCTTGATTTGACAGTGAGCTGCCAACTTTAACCCTGACCATTCACTTCAGTGGGTGCAGGGTCTGTTCCACTGGATCAGTCTGGTCTGGGTCTGGGATGTCTGTGGCTTCAGCCCTTGCATAGCCAGCTCCAGCCTGGACAGGGTCTTTGATTCAGACCAGACCTAGCTCTGATTTGCCCCCAGGGAACACCTAATGGCCCCAGCCAATGTGGCACCCAAGTGGCTTCCCAATCTCCAGGCATAAACTCTGCGGACCCTCCACCTCTCCCCTATGCTCTTCCTATAGATTGAAGGGACCCAGAAACTGCTCAACAAAGACCTAGCAGAGCTTATCAACAAAATGCGACTGGCGCAGCAGAACGCAGTGACCTCCCTGAGCGAGGAGTGCAAGCGGCAGATGCTCACAGCCTCACACACCCTGGCCGTGGACGCCAAAAACCTGCTGGACGCCGTGGACCAGGCCCGGGTTGTGGCCAACCTGGCCCACCCGCCTGCAGAGTGACCAAGCACACGGGCTGCCTGCCTGCGTCTTCCACCCCCACCTCCTCGTGTACCTTCCCCACCTTGCCTGCGGTCATGTGGGTCTTCTTGGGGGGAAGACCTGGCCACTCTGCACGACCCCCTCTCCCCACCCCACCCTGGACTGAGCTGCTCAGGCTGCAAGTGACTGAGAAAACCCTGGGCTGTGGACACAGGGGAGGGGTGACAAAGATGGCTGGAGGAGGCATGCTGCCACCTGGCCAGTCCTCCCCACCATGGTCTGACTCATGCTGGGTGCTTATAGGGGGTCACATGGTGCCCCCAGTAGCCAAGATGGCTTTACACGTGGACACAGCTGGCCAATTTGGGATCCAGGCTGCTCCTCTTCCTTCCTTTTCCACCCTCAGAGGTCCCCTGATGCACAGATGGGCCCAGGAGGGGCTTTATTTGGGGGTCGGGTGGCTGGTGAGATGAGAGTAGAGCCTGGCATTCTTGTACAGTGTATATTGAAGTTTATTTAATGTGAGTTTGGTCTGGACTGACAGCTGTGTGCCCTCCTGGGGGGAACCTGGAAATGCAGTCCAGGGAAGAGCTAAGAGGGAGCAGGGGCACGGGATGCTGTATTGTCAGCAACCAAGAGTCAGGGAAAGACATGGAGAGATGGGAGGACTCACGGAGAGATGGGAGGGCTCACGGAGAGATGAGAGGGCTCACAGGGAGAGAGGAGGACTCACGTAGAGATGAGAGGACTCATGGGGAGATGGGGGATTCACAGAGAGATGGGAGGACTCACAGAGAGATGGGAGGACTCAGAGAGATGGGAGGGCTCATGTAGAGATGAGAGGACTCATGGGGAGAGAGGAGGACTCACGTAGAGATGACAGGACTCACAGGGAGATGGGAGGACTCACGGAGAGAAAGGAGGACTCACGGAGAGACGGGAGGACTCACAGAAAGATGGGAGGATTCACGGAGAGACAGGAGGATTCACAGAGAGATGGGAGGACTCAGAGAGAGGGGAGGACTCATGGAGAGATGAAAGGACTCACGGGGAGATGGGAGTACTCATGGAGAGAGGGGAGGATTCACGGAGAGAGGGGAGGACTCATGGAGAGAGAGGAGAACTCATGGAGAGATGAGAGGACTGACAGGGAGATGGGAGGACTCACAGAGAGAGGGGAGGACTCACGGAGAGAGAGGAGGACTCACGAGGAGATGGGAGGACTCACAAAGAGAGGGGAGGATTCACAGAGAGACAGGAGGACTCACGGAGAGAGGGGAGGACTCACGGAGAGAGGAGGACTCACAGAGAGACGGGAAGACTCACGGAGAGATGGGAGGATTCACAGAGAGATGAGAGGACTCATGGAGAGAGGAGAGGACTCATGGAGAGACAGGAGGATTCACAGAGAGATGGGAGGACACAGAGAGATGGGAGGACTCACAGAGAGATAGGAGGACTCACAGAGAGACAGGAGGACTCATGGAGAGATAGGAGGACTCACGGAGAGACAGGAGGACTCACGGAGAGACAGTAGGACTCATGGAGAGATAGGAGGACTCACGGAGAGACAGGAGGACTCATGGAGAGACAGGAGGACTCACGGAGAGACAGGAGGACTCATGGAGAG